GTATATTTATTCTTTTACAGAGGTCAATTTCGCAAAATGAGCTTTCAAGAGCTAAGGTGCTTATTGCCAAGTTTTGTGCATCAGTTGATTTCTTATATTCAGAAAGGAACATGACATCCCAATATGCATGCACTCCTCCACCTAACTCAGAAAGTTGAAGATCTTGGACCCTTATGGTGTCACTCTTGCTTTTTCTATGAAGATTTAAATGGGGACTTGCGATCGCTGTTTCATGGTACACAGAAAGTAGACACTTCAAATTTCAATGGCTGTAGTAATACATCAGAAGCTACCACGTTTATGTGCCCTTATTCCAAAATTCTCTGAAGCTGAATATATCTATCTCTCCTTTAAGGGAAAACATCTCAGAAAGAACCTCACTTTGATTAAGGATAACATGTTTGCTGTCGACCCAATTAAGCCTTGTAACTTGTCTGTCGAAATACAAAATTTGGTTGAGGAATTTATGAATGCACCAGTAACAAGGTCAGCAGTTTTACCGCTACTGGTGCAATGGTTTTATGTTTCATTCAAAAATGTACAAAATGTAACAAGGAGAAACAGCTACTCAGTTGAGTATATTGGAACTGATCAGAAACGTTACCTTGGTCAGATTCAATATTACCTTGTTTTATTTACTGAGAAGAGTGCTATGTATTGTGCTATAATCAAAAGGTTTATCAAGAAACGTAAGTGTCATTTGCATGTACCAGCTCATTTTGTTGAAGTTGAAACTGGAACCTTGTTTGATCTCATACCTGTTGAGAATATTAAGAATACTGTAAACGTACTTATTTTCGCGGAATTGACAGTTTAGACTACTTCGCGCGGTCAATTATTCGCGCAATCAGTAATTGCCGGAACTGCCAGCTGTCTCTTTGGCCGCCACTAATAGCAGTGAAAACAAACAGAGTGGCTTAACCTGTCAGGCGGCGTTTATTGCTTACTCACAGGAAATCCCTATCTGTGCGATATACTAGTACACAGTAATCCGTTTACTCCCGGAAGAGATGAAAAACACATCAGTCTTATGTTCCGAATTCTGACGATTTGACGAATTAACTTATACTGTATATGAAGCTCTTTGTGATTTCAAACAAGCCGGGTTGTTGTGAATGAGATGATTGAGGTGTTAGTGACTATTCGCTTCATGATGTACTGGTGAATAAAATCTTAATGAATAAATAAAATACTGCTGTATTATTTCTTTCCGAGTTGTTTCACGGTAATCTGTTTTGTATCAAACCATGTCATGTGACCAATTTCCATGGCGGCCACAACACACATTGCTGTTTTCGCTAATTCGGCAATGGGATTTGGCTCATTATTTAATTATGTTTTGGGAAATCCATTACAGCGACAGTTAAGTATGATCAGTCGTCATTTTAAGATTCCCGTTGATTTCTGTCTTCAAACGTGATGTGTTATGGTAACAACTCAGGGGCGAGTGTGGCTAGACTGAATGAATGACAGGTTTATTTGCGGTGTATAAATTTTCGCGCTAAAATGTTTTCCGCGAAAAGCGCGAAAATAAAACCTGCGCGAAATATAATACGTTTACAGTATGTGTGTGTACATGGATCAGGGTAATGTGAAATTTGTAGCACTAATGCCAAATGTAAGAGAAAAAGATTAGATTTTGTTTTCATCCTGTGATAGAAGTTATGATGCATTTTTTGTACATACATGTACATGTATTTATGAAACAAAAGGAGTTTGTTCATTGTAATATTGTAAGACATGTGTATGCATTCTGTTACACTCTGTATTGCCTTCTGTTCTATGTACTTTAGTGTAAATATGTACTTGAATCCTTTCAAATTACTTTATGTAAACATTATTGCTCACACGCCTTCAAGATTTCACAGATTTATTTTGGAAGTAAATTAATATAGATGTTTTTTTTCTATTTCCTCCCTCATTATGTTGAGAATAATAAATGCAGTGACAATAACTTCTGAGTCATTCATCATTTTAGGTTGTTTTACTGTACACTATTTTAGTCTTGTTTCTCAATTTGTGTACAAAATTATTTGAAACAAATGGGTTTGTTTAACTTTATTAGTTTTTAAATGATTACAATAAACTATTAAGATGATTATTATTAACAAATATCTCTGACATAAACAGACTTTGTTTTTTTAAGAGCTGTCATAATTTCTCTGTCATCTTGTTTCTCTTCAAAGTCCAGGAAGTACCAGTAGCAGTGCCCCTCTGATTTGTTATGAGAAAACATATGTTTCTGCAGCGCCCCTCTAAGTACCCAAGACGATTACTGAGTCCATATGGTACCGCTTGAAGAGCCCCCTCACTTTCTCAGTTTTAAACCAAATGTTTCGAAGCGCCCATTGAAGCCCTTATGCTATATGCCATTTGAAATTGTTTCTAGGAGTACCATTTGAAGCGCCCTCTGCTTTTAAGCAGAGTTAAGGAAGTGCCCTTGGAAGCCCCCTTGCTATTTGTTTAAGTCAAGGGAGTACCATTTGGAGCGCCCCACCTTAGTATGCAGTCAATCTGTAGTGCCCTTATAGGTTCCAAATTGGGCGCCCCACCCCAGTTGAAGCCTCATTTTCAGTACCATTTATGGCGCCCAACTACAGTGTAGTGGAAACCTTGAGCGTAAGGGTTTCTGTATATCGCCAGTTCCAGACCCACTAGCATGGGCAAGGATGCACTAAGCATATCGTGGGAGGGACTCAACGCCGCGACGCTTTCCCTACTCCCAGCGTTAATCCCACAAATCTTACAGAAAATCAGTCAGAGGGACGTAGAGCCTCCATCTGATTTTGGTCGGCCCTACTGGCCAGAGAAAAATTGGTTTCCAGATCTCATACAAGAAATCGGAAAACCAATTCTTCAACTCCCTGCGCAGCCAATCTATTGATACATCCGTTACACCAAACAAGTGCACTAAACACCAGAAGCATTCCAACTTCAATGTGGATGGATTGTATCAAGGCATGTCTGAATAAGAGAGGTTATTCTGCCAGAGCTGCTGCGGTCACGCTTTGCACAGCGTAACTCAACTCTAACTTATCACGATGACAAATGGCACAGTTTGTCAATTACGCTGCTAAGAAAGGATTTACAGCCAGATATGCTACACATCCTCAAGTGGCAGATTTCTTATGTTATCTACGTCAAACTAAGAATCTAAAAGGCTCAACCTTGTCCACTTATCTTGCAGCTATAAGTTCTGTCATAACTATGAGAACGGGCGTCAAGTTGACAAAAACACCAGAGTTACTCGCTTTGTTACGAGCGTTCCGATTGGATGATCAGAAACGGAAGTTTCACGCTCCAGCCTGGGATCTAAATATAGTGCTCCAACACCTCACTAGTGAGGCTTATGAACCATTGCTATCTACTTCGTTTGAATCACTGACCCACAAAACCTTGTTCCTGTTAGCATTAGCTACGGCCGCCAGGATGTCAGAGATTCACGCACTGGATTACGAGAGAACACGCTTTGATGATAATCATAACATAGCTCATCAGGTCAACCAGACAGATTATTCCACGTCCCAGCTCTCTCATCCATACTTGGACCGCATGATACGATGGATCTATCACTATGCCCAGTTCGAGCACTGAAAATATATCTCCAACGATCCAAACAGAGCAGAAGGATATTCAAGAGATTATTTATCCCTATATCTATAGCTACGCAGACGGAAGTCTCACGTACTACTATCTCTATCTGGATCAGAACTGTCATACTACGTGCCTACAAGGCTGCAGGACTCGACCCTCCAAGAGCTTCTAATCCTCACGAAATTAGAGCGCTAGCCTCAACTCTCACTCTACATGGGAATTGCACTTTGAATACCATAATGGAGGGATGTTTCTGGAGATCCGATATGGTGTTTGCCAACCACTATCTGAGAGATATCACCACCAAGGACGTCTCGGGTATCCACCATTTCGGTCCCATGGTCCTCGCTCAACAGTTGACAGTTCCAACGGAGAAGATAAGTCTATCTTACAGATTTTATACTTATCTGATAACAGTACTAATAGCTACATGCTATCTATATATTTTGCTTAAGTTTAATTTATTATGTTATGTTCACTACTATGGTTTTTATATCATACTATAATAAGCTTACAACTCCTAGGAGTTTTGCTATTATATATATGTTCAGCTTAAGTTTCATCAATCCTTAAGCTCAGTCATATGGTCATATTCATAAATGTATTAGCTAACAAACTCTAAAGAGTTGGTTACTATTATACAGCTTAAGTTATAATTATATCTTAAGCACAGTACTATTATAACTTAAATATATGCATATCTTAAGCTTAATACTTTGGTTCATTATAAAAGTATTCACTATAAACTCACAGAAGTTTATACTATCACATTAATAGCTTCAGCTTACATTAATGTTGTATATACTTTTATCATATTCAGTAAATTGTAATAACCTTTATATGGCAGCTGATAAGTTAACAACAGGAATTCATCAGTTCAGTGCCTTTATGAAGTTCCCATAGGGTTATTACAATCATCACAGTTCAAATCACTAATTATTAAAATCCAAAGTATATATAATCCCACCTCCTTTTCCGTCGGATTCTACAAGCAATAAGCATGAGTCAGGATAAGGAAAAATATGAAATTTTTAGAGTAAAATTGATATTTTATACTTATCCTGACTCATGAGGTAAGCTCTCCTGTCCTGTCCTCCCACTTTAACACTTTGTATTTCTTCGGAAAAATAAAGTGTCGGGCTCAAAACAAAAAAAGGAGAGAGTGAGGCACATGGGTTCAGGTGGCCCTCATTCCTCGCTTGTGGAAGGGGAGGTAACTTCGTGGTGAGTACTAATTAGTGATTTTTATTGAAGGAAACTTCAATTGGGAGATACACGCAGTTCCACTATGTTCAAGCAAGAAGAAGAGGACAAGCAATAAGCATGAGTCAGGATAAGTATAAAATATTAATTTTACTCTAAAAATTTTATTTTTCATCTGCAAAGACTACTTTTTCTTTGGTCAGGTTTACCAGTCATCAAACCTGACTTCATGCGAGGACCCAAAGGAAAGAAGAAGCGGGTAAAGAAAGTTGTTGAGGACTCTGACAGTGATGAGGAATGGATACCAGCATCAATGGAGGAAAAGTAATTCTCAAGTAGGAAAGTAGTTCAGAGAAAAGAGAAATATCAGGGTTCAAAATTAATATCAGTATGCTACTTAGAGACTAGTGAAATTTAGAAATGCTTCAGGACTAGTAACATAAATTCAGTATTTCAAAATAACTAATGGCTTAATGCTTAAAGTTCCCTTGGAATTTTCTGAAAGTGTCTTAGATCAGACTAGTAAGGGAATTTTTGTCCCATCTAAATAATTAAAATTGTCTCAAAGTTTAAAAAAAAGAGAGATGGTATATTTTAGCGATGATTCAAATAAAGTAATACTTGCAAGTCGAAGCTTGTGAGAATACAGGAACCAGTTTTACATTCGCATTCACTCGTCAAGTCACTCCAACTCAGATGTGTATTTCCAACAATGATACCAATATGATATTGGTCCGAGGATTACAAAATATAAAGTACATTCTGAGTGCTGATGCATCACTAAGATGAGTTTGTGTGATAAGTTTGTTTTGTTACAGTCTTATTCCGGTTGAGACTTTCATTCTATAAGTACATCTTAATCAGAACCCATTGATGAATAAAAGTTAGTTTGATAGCAATTTCAGATGGATAATTTCATTACCTGAATTTATCTTGTTCAGAAACCCATAATGTTTTGAATCAATGCTAAGGATAAGTTTGTTCTATAGTAATTTCAGATGTATAATTTCATTCTCTAAATACATCTTGTTCAGAAACCCAATGATTAATGTTTTTAATCATAAGTCACATATTTTGTTTTAGTGATCTTACCCATGAATTGATAAGTTTGTCTTTTGGTAGTTCAATTGAAGACTATACAGTGAATTTGTTGAGTTTTTTTAAATAAAAAATTGACCACACTTTTGAGTACCTTATAGTAGAACTATAACGATGCACCGAACTATCAATGAATTGCAATTGTTGAGTTACCTTCTGTCACGTACTCATGCACGCACTCACACACACAAACACACACAAATAATTTTCTTGTTTTGCACTGAATTGGCATAAAGTGCTCTTACTGACAAAACCTGCAAAAAAAATAACATGAATAATGATTTTAAGGAAAAATCTTTCAATGCTTCACCACAAGGCATTGTCACAACATGGCATGGTATCCTTGAAGACATTCTTAAGTCTGGGATTCAAGTTAATTGTCAGTTATCAAAAGAGACTGAAACTACTTCAACTTATGTTTATTTCATATAAACTATACATTCATTTGGGATGTAAATGAGACAATTCAAGGCGAGAAACATTATTGCAATAGTATGTTGCAATCGACTATCGCTGTCACATTAGTATGTTGCAATAGACTATCGCTATCACAATAGTATGTTGCAATAGACTGTCGCTATCACAATAGTTGTTTCCCCATCAGTAGTCACCCCTACCATATTGTGTGATAAGGTAGAACCTGATACCAGAGATAATATATGTTGTTTTATTCACTACACAGTCTAGTTCTTCATTATCAAATGAATTAAGAAAGACACCATTTCC